CGAATTTCGAACTTACCATATTATTTGAATCGAGTGACTCAGCCTTTCCACTTTCGCGCGTCTCTTTTCTCTTCTGAATGGGCCAATTCACAATCAAACTACACGAGTCTAACAGCTAGCAATTCATCAGCTCTTCAAAATTCAGGTAATCCTTTCGATTTTCACTGATTCTCTCAATTTTTTACGTTTTTTTTTTCTCTCTTTTTCACATTTTCTTTTCGCTTTTTACTCATCTGTTTGGCTCCCGAGAAAAGGAATTGAATCCGATTAAGGATTTGCAAATCCTTTCCTCACTTTTTATTATCCGAATTGGTTTACTCTCCTCGATCTTTTCAGTTACCAAAAGAATTTTTAGCTTTTGGTTGCTCGCAGAGTCAAACAACGATAGAAGAAACCAGTCCTCGCGAACTCCGTTTAATTCATTTTTGGTTACAGATTTTCTTTTGGGCGTTATCATGTATTATTTTGAGATACGGATCACACATTACGGAGTACATAAATAGCTTTTCTGCTAAATTTTTTATAACTGCAGGTAATGCTGGAGTTTGTATGATAAGCAAACCATGGAGAGATGAACAACACACATCGTTCATCAATTTCGTCTCCTCTTTCTTAAGTTTAAACTCTTTTCGTCTTAACATTGTTCCACTTGCACCAGTATGTGCGTTGTTTCTGTTCAAATATCGATCTACTTCTGGCTGGTTCGCTGCTCATCTTTTGGTAGTTTCTATATCCAGGACATAATATTCAACTGCGCAGGTCTGTCAATAGCTTTCATTTTCTTGACAAACTGGGATCGCTGTGATGTTACATCAATCTTCTGCAGGTAAGAGGTTAATTGTTTTTATTTGAGTCCCTTATGTTGTTTCATGGTGAATTTGAATGCAAACCCAGCAGAATCGAGAAATTGAAGCAGCAGTTTGCACACTTTTATATTATTGTCACCCTATCAACCAGAGAGCAAAATGATGCGTTTGTTCGCTCCTATTTCAAGTGAGTCATATAAGGTTTTGTCTGGGTTTTGATCTGTATGTGCTATTCTGATGATTTGCATTCTGAGAGGCCACATTCTGTTTCTGGTAAAGATATGGGATGGAGCTCGGTAAACCACCATTTGTGTTAGTTCATGATGTAGAGATGGGATTTGAAAAGATTGTTCAGATAGCTCATTCTCGTGGGGGTAAGATCTTATGAGCTGAAGCTCACTTGAATTATTCCTATGAAGTAATAAATCGGTTTGTCATGCAAGCTGCAGCATGTAAGAAACATGATGCTAAATCAAAATTAAAGGCAGAGGTTAGTTTGTGGAAACTACTGTCCTTAAAATTTCCTTGCGTTACACTTCCAGTTCTTTTGTTCATTTTGATTCAAGAATCTTCTGCTTTCTTTTGCATATGAAGAGAAAGCAAGCTGTGCAAGGGATGGACATTTTCTACAGGGTAGTCACATCCATACCAGGAATTGATAACCATGACGCAAATTCGGTAATTTTTTTATTGAATCTCAGAAATTTTAGAGATATCATGTGATATTTATCATATGGAACCATATCAATTACAGAATTAATGTTAATAGTTGTTTACTAAAAACTGGTCGAGAGTTAATTCAAGTTAGTTTTAAATACCAGATCCATGTTCTTACCTTTCTTTTTATTTGTCGGTGGTGGGAACTTCTTAAGCTTCTAAGTATGGACTTTGTAATCACGCATTAAGTTCCTTACCAGTAATGGAATTTAATGGTTAGGAGAATTTTTGTACAATGATTATCACTCTGCTTCATAAGGATCATTTTTACCTCACTACAAAATCAGACAGCTATTAACCTTGTCTAAATAGTGCTTGAACCAAAGCATGCAGTTTGGATGGTTGAAGGTGAACCTGTATCCCTAAAGTTATTGCTCATAAGACATGAAGTAAGTCTTCATGTTATTTGAATATAAGCTATCAATCTGTCAGTGACCTGTAAAGACCCATATAGTTCAAGGCGTAAAAGCATTTGAAAGCTGAAAACTGGTCTTTTATAAGTGTCAACTCAAGTTTCATAGTTTAATAAAAATCTCAGCTCGTTAGTTTTGTTGTCAATTGAAATTTTTGTCACTATTAATGAAAATATACTACCACATAATTATCCATCCGTTATATAAATTAATGTGTCTACTATACAATCATAAATGAAATATAGGGCTTTTTTTGGTGTAGTTATATTATTTGTTGAGATCATAGTCTTCAAGATACGGTTATCAGTGAAGGGAAGGTCTCATTATTTTGCTTTCAGCTTAATCAAGGTATTGGTTCCATTGAAGCTATTGCAAAAGCATCAAAGGAAGATATTCTGGAAAACACAGATCTTTCCGTTGAGAAGGCTGATATGGTTAAAAGGTTTTTCAGAGATCCAAAGCTTCATCTCAGTCCCAAAATTTCTTGATGGGAGAAGAAAAACATGAGAGAACCTTGGAAAATAAAACTTTCTTGCTTGAGTTTCAAGTAGTACATCTGTTTATTGGCAAGTTACTTTTCGTGTTTTGATAGCTAATTCGTCACCGGTTCTGTTTCTTCTAGTAAAGATGAAACCAATGATAACTAATTTCATCACCAGTTCTCTTTCTTATAGTAAAGATGTAATCGAATGTTGTGATATAAGTTGTTGCTTGTAAGGAGCACTCATTTGGATGTTATGGTGTCGGAAACAATGGCCAGGGCAAAGAAGATTTAGCCGAGTAGCTCTATTTTATTCTGAATCTTTTAAATCTTAATGTTTTAGTATTAGATTATTTTCTTTTTGGTTATGCAGTTTGTCCAGAGTTCAGTCAAAAACAGATCTTCATGCATTACCATGAAAAATCAGAACAAATCTAATCCACTTGATCTTTACTAGTTATGCGATTGACGTTTGTTTGTAAGGCAAACCTTCTTTTCAGGAGACCCTCCTCTGACTTAGTTTTCCACTACTTGCTTTGGCATAATTGCAAGGCAAAGAAAAGTAACTCAAACTTCTCAACTGAAATCTAATATTAGTTACCTTGTTTTTTCCTCCATTGAAACTACTAGCCTCTCGGATGCTCAAGTATTTTGTGCCTTTTCTTTAAGAACAAATATTTTCTGCCCTTCTTGCATATGGAATAAATTGCCGGAAGTGTTGTGCCAACAAATAAATTTAGACATATCAATGAATCATCAAAGATAGTAATAAAAAAAAAGCTTTAAATTACCATAACCCATCCAATCTATACGACTGTTGGAGTCCCGTGTGCTTTTTCAAGAGAATGATACATTTTCCTGAAGCTACAAGATTAATTTCATGTTATTCCAGTTGGAAATATATCAATACGGACCAAACTTCACGAAAAAATCTCTCAACTAGTAGATAAGACCTAAGGAGGGCAGTAGAACTGAATCCTAAATGGAGGAAGTAACTACCACTATGATGGGGCACCAAGATAGGAGGCCAGCCGCAATATGTCACTGAATATTCCCCCAGCAGTGACTTGTGCCCCAGCACCAGGTCCGCGGACTATGAGAGGTTGCGCCTTGTACCTTGTAGTTGTGAAGGCTATGATGTTGTCAGAACCTGAGAGCTGTGCAAATGGATGGTTTTTGCTGTATCTTCGCAACTCCACATTCCCCCTTCCATTAACAGCATCCACTACTCCAACATATCTCAAGACCTGGTAAGCATAAATGAAGGAATGCAAAACAGAATAAGAATGCTGCAACTAAAGTGAATTTATATATTTGCCGTGGAAATAAGACCAAATCCCATGTTCCTCTTGAACAATCATACAAGCGAGTTTTCCCGTTAACTTTGTTCTAGAAACTCGTCATTGTTTACCAAGAAATCAAAGAGGTAATCATGGATGGTACATTCAGACACAATGGCGGTAGGGACACTTGGATATTAGAGGAACTTTCCACTGACGTCGCAAATGTTGTTTCATTATGGTCACATAGGACACTTTTCTTTCTGTTTGTTGAAGCTTATTACCCGTGTACGTTCACTACAGTAAGGATGAGTGTGAATGCAAATAGGAAAAGAAGAAAGACAAAAGAAAAAGGGTTTTCACTTCAATAAAATTAAAAACCATCACCATGTTCTCAACTACAGGAGAGGCTTCAATTCTGACGTAAACACTGCTGATCGACAGAAGAGAAAATTCTGGAAAGGATGTAACTAAGCACACACAAGAGCAGGATACCCTTCTTTTATTTTAGCTTTTCTTATTCTTCTTAGTTCCTGTTTTCTCACATTCCTGTGCTTCCAGCAAGCATGACATGATAAATTTTGAAATGATATTCGTAGATTCCAACCTAATTATCTCTCTATTAAGTCATTGAGACAAATCAAGTTACGATCATCTTTAATCTTGTTGAGGTAAGGCAGATATATCACCATAAGTAGGGAGTCAGGTAAATTATCCACACAGGTAAAGAAACTTACTTCTCCTGCTTCTTCAGCTTCTTGTCTTTCCTTTGCCAAGTCTTTGTCAAATTGGGGTAATTTTTGCATAAATTCATCAGCAGATGCACAAGCCTGAAATAAATAATTAAAACATGAAATAGTTTAAGAATCTGCTTCTTCATCCTAGTGTAAGAACAACAAAACTCAGATTCTCACCCTTAGTGGTTCTGGCACAAGACTTCGAACAGGGAGATCAGAAAGTTCCAATTTTAAACCAGATTCTCTGGCGAGAATTATCACCTGCAGAATAAGGGCATGCGTTTTATTTTCTTTTTTTTTTCAAAAAAAAATTTTCTTCAAAAGGCACAAAGAGGTGCAGACCCATATCCTAAAGCTGTATTACAAGAAAAAATCTACCAAATCCTCCATATTGTAAATTTGAGTTCCCATTAAACCAAAAACTTAGAACACTGAAGCATCTCTCAAAACTTTTTCAGCTGTACTCCACTAAATCATAAGCAACCAAGAAATTTATGGGAATGTAGTACCTTTCGGGCAACATCTGTTCCAGAGAGGTCATCTCTTGGATCTGGCTCAGTATACCCGGCTTGTTTTGCTTCTGCCACAACTTCACTGAAATTTCGAGTGCCTGTGAAGTTGTTAAAGAGATAACTCAAAGTTCCACTGCAACAAAATCATTTGGAGAGTTAAAGACAGGCAAGGCGTACGTACGTGAATGACTATCTTAAACTTTAGGAAAAACTAGCAAACTTCGTATCAAACACAACAGACCTGAAAATACCCTCAATCTTCAATATTTTGTCCCCGGTTTCAAGTAGACCTCTTAAGGTGCTAATAATTGGAAGGCCAGCTCCTACTGTTGCTTCATAGAAGTAATGTGTGTAGGATTTCCTTTGAAGAGCTCTCAACTTCAGGTACTGGAATTTAAAGAAAATTACCTCATCAACAGGCACCAAACATGTTGTAGAAATAAAAGAAATCTTCATCAAATATCAAGGAAAAAATGACAGGTAAAACAATATGCAACAATGTATAACATTGGCATGTTAAAACTCCAGAAAGTTTATGCACAAATGACCATGGGGCTTAATAACCTTAAAGAAAGTCCTAGATGTTAATCTTCAGAGACAGTGAAACAGGGCTCTTCATTGCATACAGAAAGAAGATAAATTATGCAAAGAGATCCAAAAAGTTAGAAATCCTACGTCACGAGATACTTGCACCTGCATCTGCAGGGTGTGCAATTATGACTTAGTTTAGCCTACCTTCAAATTGACAAAGTACTCCACAACTTTGGACAAGACTAGCATTTTCCTTCTTTAGATCAAATATTTATTTTGTCATGAGCTTGCATGTGCTTCTTATAGTGTATGATTTTCTGGTTGAAACAACAGCCAACTTTACAACTATGTAACAATGATGTTTTGGTTAGCATTGCCTCCCACAACTTGTACATTCCTGTCTTCGTAGATCTGTTTTTCTATTAAAGAAATGTACCAGTTAGCAGAGAGAAGACAATTAGAAGTTAACTTTTACTGACTCAATCCACATTCACTCATGACTTTTAAAGACAAAAATTTCCAGTGGTGTGATTAAAAAACATTTCTAAAATTATGGATGACATATTTTCGGTTAACACCTGATTTTTCATAATTTACGAAAATCACATGAATATATCTACCATATGAGCTTTGTCTCTGTTCAAGGGGAACATTTTAGTTTTGCCTATCGTGTAAAAATCGGCATCAACAATTGATGTTACCTGATCTAGTGGTCCTGAATTTGCCTTTTTGTTTGGAGTGATAACGTGAATTCCTTTTCGCAACCAATCGTGGTAACAGCTTGCAATATTAGAATCTGCTGTACAATCAACCAAAACAGTGTTTGGTATGAAGTGATTTCCATGCACATATTGAGTGAATTTCTCCAGATTAGCTACTTCTCCTTTCTCTTTCAGAAGCTCTCTCCACCTTGACAAGTCAATTCCCCTACAAGGAAAGCAGAATGAGTAGAGGGTAAAGGGCTCAAGACTATGAATGGACCTCATGTTTTGAATGACCCCAAATAGTAGAGAATGCTTCATCCATGTCAAGTGGCAGGACAAGATACAACCCAAAAAACAACATTTAGATTGTTGGGAAGATGTTATCTAAAAAAATATAACAAGGTTTACACATAAATATAAGGACAATGGCTTATTGGGCGAACCAAAAATTGGCAAGGATGAAATAATACTCAGCAGAGTTAATGAAATGCATGGGCAGAAGGAGGCTGAACCATCTTCTTGACACCATCATCTCCTCAGATAATTATTGGTTTCCATAGCACTATACTGGACATCTGCCAGTAATGCTGTTGCAGATACCTGGGGGCTAGAAAGCATGCAAGCATATCTGCTTTTTTCTTGGGCGGGATGGGGGCTGTTGGGGGATAAAAGATGTAACCTTTCTACATCAACTCAATGCTTACTTTAAGCTTTCTCTACAGTTTACTATTTCCATGGAGATGAAGTAATATTAAAAAGGATAGGTTTGAAATATATTTATATTTGGAGTCTATGGTTTCTTCCCATATTCTCAACACAAAAGGCAAAGCAAGCATGATAAGTCAAAAAGAAAATTGAAGACATAATATATTGGCAATGGGAAAATTGATATTTTAACATGAGAGCTTTGACTTACGCATCATTTAAGAGCATTCTCCTTGATCCTGTGATCCCCATAACACGTAGATCAATGTTAAATTCTTCCTTGAGGACAGCAGCCTGCCAAAAGAAATATAAGAATAAGTTTAATTTTAAATAACAACTGCATTTAGCTTCGTACTTAAAACTATTTCAGATTTTTGGAGGTAAACTCTGAAAGCTCATAATGATCAGGCAATAAGCATTCACAGGATTGCTCAATAAGCTCTATGCTTACTCCAAGCAATTACTTAACCTGGTCATCCTTCATGCAGACTAACATTTGGTTCAAACTAAACGGTAAAAGCCATTTATGCCAGGAAGATTAATCCATGTCAGAGATTAATTTCAGGAGGTCCTTCCAGGTATTCATGTCCTAAAGCCCAGACCAATTTACAATTTTCTTATTGCCAAAGCCTATGGAACATACCAAAATTCAAGTACAAAGCATGAATCCATATAAGGAACTTTCCAAGCTTCATGTATATGACTCATCTCTTTGCAGATGTATAGGATAAGTGGAAGACTTGCTCCAGAGCCCGGAGGAAGGCAACATAAAACGACTGAAAATGTACTGGGTTTGAAGGGCTCTAGTTTCTATTTCGGTAAACACAAGTAGCATTGATGTCTAGCAACATCCAAAATAGAACTTACCGCAGTTTTATTTTTAAAATAATAACATAACATAAAAGAACAGTTATTTTTTATTTGAATTCACTACAATGTAGCCTTTAAAACAGTATTTTTTATTTTCTTCTTTGAAAGTACTTTAAAATAATATTTTTTATTAATACACCACACTTTTTTTTTTTCAGTTAGCCTATTCTCTCTTATCCTTTGTTTGTTTATGCAGCCCCACCTTCAAGAATGCAGGGACACAGAGACAGTAGGAAGATAAGAATGAAGATTATTTTCAGAATTTTGAAAGACATTGATTGGCATAGAAATTCCACTAGAAAACACAGAAAGCTATAGTGTAGACCTAAATTAAGTAGTGAATAGGTGTACCATGCTTGTGCATTTTTAGAGCTCAACTCAATTCCAAGACATTTTTCACTAAACAAGTCCCGTTTAATGATGTCATGATATTGTATACTTGCACATTCCTAGGTCAAAATTGTACATGACCGACCTTTTTACTTCAACCACTCCTTCCACGTGGATTACAGCTAATAGAACTTCCTAATAAGTCAACAACCTCTCCATTCCATTAAAGTTTCATTCTATACGTTCTCAGTTGCTCAGCCCAAGAATTCTGAGTCTAATATGCAAATCAATAATTCCTCTTATTTACTAACACCACTCCTATCTGCAAATGATGTGGTAAATTTATTAACTTAATTCTTATCTTAAATTTTTTACACTGAACTGCTTTTGGTATAACATAACTACACTTTTAGGATCAGAGAAAAAATAACTTATCTCATAAATAACAAATGGACAATTGATTATAGATCGAATTCCTACATCAGTATCCTACATAAACTGGAATATAGTTGTTTAATTACCTGATCTCTGAGCTGGTCAAGTAAGGTTGCACCAATCAAACCAGGTCCAATAATTCCCATTGCTATTGTTGTTCTTGAGAGATAAAACCTCGAATGAACTGCTCTTAAAGCCCGTATACAATCTTCACGCTTGACAACTACAGTTATATTATATTCAGAGCAACCTTGAGCTATGGCACGGACATTAATATTAGCCTGCATTATAATGAGAAAAGAAATAAGAATAAGAGCTTTTAAACAGAAAGATATGTCAGTACTG